GCAATTATACCATAGAGTTAACATGATACAGCTTAAAATCAATAGAATCACAAATGGAGAAAATACCCTTTTCAGTTCTGCTCCCTACCTTTTGGAATTCCCTTTCTCAAAACCTCATTATTGCTTCCTTTCTGTCCTGAAGACTTACTGTCTCAATATGTTTCTTCTCAATCATCTATGTCTGTTTTTATCTGCTGCTTTGTCTAATAACTATTAATATGTTTTATGAATTGGGCTTTTAATTTTCTTTGTGAATTCATCTTGGTTGACCCATATTTTGAATTTAATTAATTTTGTTTGCCCTTTCTGGATGGGTCAAAGTTTGCAATCCTATCATCTTGGAACAGCTACCAAAGATCATAACATATATCAAATTATCCCTTCTGGCTCAGACCTCCAAGGAGAAATTTTGGTATTGCTTCCTTCCTTGTCAAACTCCAGTGCTAATTCTTTGCAAATTCAGGACATTATAAATGTTGGGACTTCTCAGAAAAGGGTGAAATAAAGTTGGGCAGGAGGTAAACAAGAAGCTTTGGATTCAAATGATATAAAGCTCTCTTGCTGTCTCTGCCATTCTTATGAACTGTGGACAACTTAGCAGTTTCTAGAAATCATGTAATAGAATTTATTAAAAATAGGAAATCACTGCAAGAAATTATATGATCTAACTTCAACTAGAAGGCTTCAAAAAGTATTAAGTGGAACCTGTATTTAAGTACATGAAAATAATGAATTGTTTAAATTCTTATAGATTAAATCATACATTCAAAAAAGAATATACTGTATAATCACCAACTCAGAAAATTCATTACATTAAAGTGAAGCAATAACAAACACAATTTTCCTAAACTTCCATTGCAAAATGGAGTAGGTTAAAAAAAAGCTATATATGGTCAATTAGAGAAGACATTAATAAAGCCATTGATTTTGACATTTAGATGGAGATACAGTAATAATTTTTATATGCAGTAATTTTATTAAAAAAAAATACTTTAATGACCTATAATACTTAGCAGTTTTGTTGGATATGTCAAAGAATCACAGAGAATTTCCTTGACAAGGCATGGCATTGGGAGAGGAGAGGATTAATAATACTATGAAGCTTATTAGTGTATGATTAACTCTTAGTTCATTCAACATAAAACTAAACTCTCAAAGTTTTGTGAAATAATTTCATAACAATCATCTAACTGGGCTGATCTTGAGAACACTAAGCAGGTCTGGATCGTGATTAGTAATCTGGTGGGGATCACCAAGAAATCCCAGGGTTGTGTAATGGTAAATGACTTTGGGAGACAGGAGGGAGAGCCTCAGACTGTACAACTGGTATTTAAAAGGTACCTTAGCCCACAGAAGGAGGGAGTGCATGAGAAACATTTTACAAGGGACCCTCCTTAGTTTTCTGGAAAGTAAAAAGAAAGGAAGGGAGAAATACTTCCAGTCTTGCAAGATTCTGTTAATGTAACCTTACAATAAAGATAGAGCTAGTACTCCTGGTTGTACTTTTTGTCTGGAGTACCTTGCAGGGCTAACAGGCTGTAAATTAGGCTGGGGGAAAAAAGGCAACCGAGAAGAAAATGACAATTACTTTCATATTCATGTTGTTTATATATATTTTTTCTTCCGTTGTACACTGCCGAGAGTTCTGTTGACATCTAGGGTGGTATACAAAAATGCAAGCAATCAAGAATGTGGATGTGTGCAATGCAGTCACCAGAAGCTGAGCTTCGTGCAAGAAGCACTTGTTACAGAATAAGCCAGTGCTCTTTTGGGAAACTTTACAGTAGGAAAGGAGACAGGCTGCAAGTGGAAGGGTTGATGAGTTCATCCTAATTATCTCAGCTGTTTTCCAGCTGCTTTTGGTGCTCCTGGGATAATCATGGTGGTCTTGGCAGTACTATTTCCTTACTATTATCTCTCAAAGAAATCTCTAGATTTTAGGAGTTTCCTCCCTGGAGTGAGAACTGTGGATGGTTCCCTGAGACTGGTTTCGTGATAAAGACAGTATCTTAGAATGGCATATTGGAAGAGTTTGTCTGAATAATTTTATTATTTCAGTGTTTATTTAGGAAATGTTAATCTCTGAATGTTTGAAAGCATCCTGTCGCTATTCTGAAAACCCATACACCATTTCTTATATTCACTGAATGTATTGCAATCATTCTTCTTTTTTCATATGATGCAAAGGAGAGTCAGGCAACCTTGCCATTCTAGAAGAATGACCAAGGGGGGTAGGTTTTCTGATACAGAAAAGTTCTTGAGAATCCAATTCCTAAATTATTATGTGATTTTGATTTATTTTACCGTATCTTTGCTCTTATATTCCAGAAGAACGCTGGCACTTAATCTGAATAATTTGGCCTGCCTACTTTTTATCTCTGAAAGCAGAGATAAAAACCATAGATATAATAAAAACTACAAAAAGGACTTGTAAAAGGTCCTCTTGTTGCATCAAGACAGGATGGCACAACATAAACCCACATTCCCCATCCAGATTGGAATTTAGATCTAGAACTTCATGGGGCCATGAACGCTCTTTTGTGCCTCCCTACCTCAGCCAGGGGGGACGCGGTGGCGCAGCGGCTGAATGACGCTGAAAGTTGCCGGCCAGAAATGGTTGATGCTTCAGCGGTTCGAGTCCAGCCTTCG